AAGGCGTGCCGTCTCAAAGCTGTAGGTGCCGATGCTGCCCTCGCATGTCACGTAGACGGTGGAGCACCCGTTGCCGTCGACTACGGCGGCGTAGGCGGTGATAGAGGAGGGTCGTCTGTACCCAGGTCGGCGGACAAAGGGAGGCGGCGGGAGGAGCCGCCAGCGCCAGGCCGCCCTCATGTCGCTCAGCTCGCTGCACTCGGGCATGTACTCAAGGACCTCGAAGCATCCATCGTCGCCCGGCCCGGGGTACGTGTCCATGACGTACAAGCTGTCTTGGTCACGGCCAGGGTGCGCGATGTGCAGGCACATGGGGTAGACTCCCTTGCGCTCGTTCATGCGGCCCAGCGTGCTGACGAGCTGCCTGTCGGCGTCGTACATCACGGCCTCGCCGGCCGGGTTGGCGGCGATCATCCTGCCTCCGCTGGTGGCGCGGGGGCTGAAGAGAGCGAACATGTCCAGGCTGCCACCACCGGAGGGGTTTGCCAACTGATGAAGCTCATTCCTGGGTGCGGCAGCTGCAGTGCCCGCATCGCCGGAAAAGGATCCTTCATCCTAGCTGCTTCATCCGCCGCCTCCAGCGCTTCCTTCGCTGACCGGTAGAAGAGTTGGTCGAAAGGATCGATGTGGCGCACCGAATAGACGTATTGGGCGCAATTGCGCGTCACCAGATTCACGAACCGCCTCCGCATCTTTGTCGCTCCCGGTCTCCCAGCCCAGCCAGGTTGAGCTTGTACGGCGATCGGGGCGGCGGCGGACACGAGGGTGGGGGTCGTTCCGTTCTTCTCAAAAGGATTTCCGCCTACTTGGGCCATGGGCCCAACAGCTAGTGCTTTAGAGGCTAAATCAGGAAAGGGCCTAACAGCCCATTTCGCTGGGCATCTTATCAGACGTGAATAAAAAGCCCAAAAAAACAGGAAAGGTAAAAAAACCAGTACAAAATGAAGAAGAAAAGGAATTCCTTGCCTTAAAAAAATAGTTAGTGTAAAAATGCCATGGTTGCTTGTCCACTTTCAAGTGACCATAAAAAAAAGGAAAAAAACAATGTTCATTAACAAAAAGACATTAACAAATCAGTTTGCCATGGTTAACAAAGGTAAAAATGTCATGTTTCAAACAATAAAAACGCCATGGTACCAGAAAAAAAACTTTGCAATGGTTAAAAATGATTAATTGGCCATGAACAAAGATATAAATTTGCCATGGGTGTAACTTAAAAATTGCCATGTTCGAAAACGAGAACTTTGCCATGGCAAATAAACATCTTAAGTAAACATGGTAATGTTCTTCAAATAAGATATGAAAACGACACAATCTTTTTTAATAAAATTGCCATGTTCATGGAATTTTATTTAAAACATGTTAAGTTGCCATCACTACGTAGTTTACACTACGAAAAGTTGCCATGAAGTTCACATATATATGGATACAACATGGCAAAGAAAATGAAGTTTACACTACAAAAGTTGCCAACATGACAACATATGAAAAAAAGATATGGTGAAAAATGTTTCTCTAGACACATAGAAAATATTGAAAAAGGAAGAAAGCATCTTAACTTGTAATGATATCGTACATGTAATCGCCGTGAAAAAACAAATTTCAAAGGATCAACATTTTTTGCCATGGCATTTTTTTTGAAAGAACAAACTTCTCGTATTCTCAAACTAATATGCAATGGCCATGGCAAACATTCTTCAGAACCAAGGCAAAAATGCATTTAGTTGCCATGAAAAAAAACACATCTATAGAAAAAAATATTGATTTTAGTTGCCATGGCAAGTTTGCCATGTTTTTAAACATCTTAGGTTGCCATGTTTTCGAACATCTTAAGTTGCCATGGCAAGTTTACCATATTTTTGAACATCTTTAGTTGCCACGGCAAGTTTGCCATGTTTTTGAACATCTATAGCTTTGCAATGTTTTTGAACATCTAAACTTGCCATGGCAAGTTTGCCATGTTTTGAACATCTATAACTTTGCCATGTTTTTGAACGTCTTTAGTCGCCATGGCAAGTTTGCCATGTTTTCGAACATCTTAAGTTGCCATGGCAAGTTTACCATATTTTTGAACATCTTTAGTTGCCACGGCAAGTTTGCCATGTTTTTGAACATCTATAGCTTTGCAATGTTTTTGAACATCTAAACTTGCCATGGCAAGTTTGCCATGGTTTTGAACATCTATAACTTTGCCATGTTTTTGAACGTCTTTAGTCGTCATGGCAAGTTTGCCATATTTTTAACACCTTAATTAAGTCGCCATGGCAAGTTTGCAACGTTTTTTATTGTATTTAGTTGACATCTTAATTTAAAAAGTGTTTGCCATGTTTTTAACAAACTTAATTAAAAGAAAATTTCCATGTTTCTGCACATCTTAAGTTTACCATGGCAAAGTTCGCCATGTTTTTGAACATCTTAAATTGCCATGGCAAGTTTGCCATGTTTTTAAACATATATAACTTTGCCATGTTTTTTAACATCTTAAGTTGCCATGGCAAGTTTGCCATGTTTTTAAACATCTATAACTTTGCCATGTTTTTGAACATCTTAAGTTGCCATGTTTTAAAATAAAATAGTGCCATGGAAAAATCACATGAATTTTGTCATAAAGAGCATTTACACATGCGAAAAGGGCACATGGTAAAAATAGGAGGTTTGTTCTTTAAAACACAAAATATATGATGGCAAATTTAGCAACAATGGGCACGTGGAAAATACACTATTTTTGTCGTGTGAGAAAATAACATGGCAAAAGGGTCATAAGTTTTGCCATGGGTAAAAGCAAAGTTAGAAGATAAAAAATTGTTATGTTGTCAAAGCAAAAATGTAAAAATTGCCATGGCAACATTGTTCGGATAGGTAGGCAAAGAGACATGATAAATGTTGTCGTCATGGCAACATAAGTTTCTAGTTGCCATGGCAACCACACCTATACAATTAACAAAAAAATTGAATACATGGCAACACATCCATAAAATTTACATTGCAAACACAATGTTCATTTAGTTCCATGGCTCACACATCTATAAATTTACATGGCAAAAACATAACATTCTTTTAGTTCCATCAGCTTCTAGTTGCCATGGCAACACATCATAAATATACATGGAAAAACACAACATTCTTTTAGTTCCATGGCAGAACTATAAATATTGCACTGATATGAGAATCGCAAAAAAAATCGGTTATGCATTCCTGGGGTAATCACATGGCAATTGAAGAGATAAACTAACAAAAATGAACAAACAAAGGTTGAGCAAAGGTGCTACCTGAACATGGATGTAGCCAACACAAGGGGCTTGTGCAGTGAGCCGCCGTAATGGTCAAGCTCGAGCTATGTCCCGGTCCTGCACGCTGGTAGATTTGTAGGAGCTCGTCACCGGGGAGTGGTGGCGGGGTGCGCGTCGCGGGGAATGTTACGCTGGTCAGCGGAGGGGAAAGGGGATGAGACTGGGAGAAAGTGAGAACAGGTGGTGGGGTAAAAGGAAAGGGATAAGAGGAGTGTGCCGTTGAGGGTGTTCGGGGACGACGCCTGTTTCACCGAACAGGGACAAGACGTGACGTGAAGCCCCTAGTCTCTTTACGATCTGTGCAAAAAATCCAACGGTGCTGCGCACGTTCGGGACGGGACGATAGAATACTGGTCGTTCGGAAGTTATTGAACCCGAAAAGAAAAGATAAGTATATTTTCGTCATTCAACTCTGTCTAAACTATAGAAATCATCCCTCAACTTCAAAACCATTAAAATTCAGTCCCTCAACTATTTAAATTGGATACTTTTGGTCCCTCATAACACTTGTAGTGGTTTTAATATGACGTGGACCTGGTTTTGAATAAAAACGCCCACGTGACCTGGTTTGACCGCCACGTCACTTAAGCGAATGAGTGTACCCGCCGGCTCTCCCTCCCTCACGTTCTCTCGATCCTCCTTCTCCCATTCACGATCAGACGACTAAGTGCACCTGGTCCCGCATACATTTCAAATCCCTTCTTCCAGGATTAGCATCCCTCCATGATATCCATATAGTTGCCTTGTTGCCACACTCACACTCCACCGCCAACCCATAATCCAACGGCCCCTCACGGTATGGGATGGGGGACAAGCGACCGAGAGGGATCGATGGTGAAGAACAAGAAGACCCGCGTGAGCGACTTGAACTGGCCGAGGTTGACATCTGCATGCCAGCCGAGGGACTCACTGTGGGACCCCCCCGCCTGATCGCTCGCGCCGCCTTGCACAGACAACCACCACCGTCTAAGTCGTTGTTGCCGCCTCCTTGCCCAGCTAGCCACCACCGCACAGCCACCACCCTGCTCAGCCAGCAACCAACGCGCGTGAATCTCCACCGGGCCATGCTCCACTTTTCAGACTGTCGCCGCTGCTCTAGGGTTTTTGCGAGATAAAGAGGATCGAGTGAATGCGGGAGAGAGAGGCAGCGAGGCCCTCAGCCACTTAAGTGACGTGACGGTCAAAACCAGGCCATGTGGACGGTTTTAGTCAAACCAGGTTCAAATCATACTAAAACCACTGTAAATGATACGAGGGACTAAAAGTATCCGGTTTAAAAAGTTGAAAGACTGAGTTTTAGTAGTTTCGAAGCCGAGAGACTATTTCTATACTTGAATGAAAGAGTTAGAGGATGAATAATATACTCATAAAAAAATTGGTACTACTCTACCACAGCTGGATTTCGCGGTTAGCCCAGCGTCCCAGCCGCGTTTCCTATTCGAAAAAGTCGAGTCGTTGGCTCATCTTTGTGAGCTGTGGGTCCCCGGAGCAGGAGCAGGCGGAGGCGCCAACCGGACGCCAAAACCCCGCCCCCGCCCCAATCACTACGCCCTTTCCCCTCGTCGCCCCCACTTTTTTTCTCCCACTCCGCCCCCCGATTCTCCCCAATCCCCTCTCGCCGCCGCCAGGAGGCAGCACCGGAATCGCGGCGACCGAAGATCCCCTCCGACCCGCGCCGAGGAATCCCGCCGATCCGCCCGCGCCTCGCGGATGGCCCTGCACCAGCACCACGCGGGGTCGGCGTCCGGGTCGGCGTCGGCGTCCAGCTCCAGCTCGGGGCTGCACCTGCCCGCCTCGCCCTTCGGGGACACCACCCACACCAAGCTCTTCGTCGGGGGCCTCGCCTGGGAGACCACCAGCGAGAGGCTCCGCCGCTTCTACGAGCGCTTCGGGGACATCCTCGAGGCCGTCGTCATCACCGACCGCCACTCCGGCCGCTCCAAAGGATACGGCTTCGTCAGTGCCCGCCCCTCCTCTTCCTCCTCCACTGTTTCGCTGCTGTCGAATTCTGCTTCCACCTGTTAGTCTTCCTGGAAGCGCTGTAGCAGTGCTGGATTGTTTACGAGTTTCATGGTCGTCTCCGCAGGTGACCTTCCGCGATGCTGAGGCGGCCACCAAGGCCTGCGAGGAACCGTCGCCGGTCATCGATGGCAGGCGGGCCAACTGTAACCTGGCGTCGCTAGGTCGCGCCCAGCCTTCCACACCCCTCGGTATTACTCTCTTCTAATACTACCTATTTGGACTAGCTTGTACCCACATTTTTTAGGCCATTTCATCGAAGTAGTTACTATTGTTTGCAAGTTAATGCATCATAGTTGTTGCTTATTGATGTTGTCTTGTGCAATCTAAATCAATTAGTTCTGCCACGAGTCTTCCCTAGCAAAAGTTGTAACATGACTAGTACATGAGTTCATGGTGCTTAGTTACTTACTCTGGAATTCAATTAACCCCCATCATGTTGCAAAGTAAATCAAGAATTCAACTACGGATAGGAAAGGGCTAGGGTTTTCTTACCAAAAGGTTGTTTATGTGGTAATAATAGTGTCCTTTCTATATGCATGTGTTCTAAAAATATGCATTGTATATAGGGCGGCCAAGATCAGCTGGCTCCTACTTTGGCGTTCCCGTCCCAAGGGGCATTTATGTAGGGGGTTATGGTCAGCAGCGACCACTTCCGATTGGGTACTACCAGTATCAGGGATTCCCGGTTCCACAATACAGGTAAGATGATTTCCAAAACGTACAGTACAACTTGTATAAAAAAGCAAAGCTTTTAAGAAAATTCAGTGGGTTGACAATGTATCAATGATGCTATCAAACTGGCATATAAGACGAAGTATTTAGAAGTTCCATCTTGTTCCTAGATTGTCTGTTCACGATTTTCATGTTCATTTTAGGCCGATTCTTCACCATTTTTCAATATAATTTGTTCATGTTTATACCCTTCAATTTGCAAAATTTAAATAGATTGCAATTCTTTTACTGATTTTAACTACCAAGGTACTTCTTCTCTAAAGAAATATAAGAGCGTTTAGATCACTACTTTAGTGATCTAAATGCTCTTGTATTTCTTTACGGAGGGAGTACTTGATTTAATAAAGATGTAAACGATCAAATTAGAATCTAGAATGCAACCATACTCTGCAAGATATTTTGTCTAGTTTTTTTCCCAATTCCCCATCATCATGTATCACTTGGGCACAAAAGTATGACCAGATGTATTTGATTTTCCCACATTGTGTAAATTATGCATATGCTATTGCTTGTCCCTCGTTAGCCATCTATCATCCGTCCCACTCCCACTCACTCTTTCCCCTGTTCCTTTGAAAATGATCAAATCATCAAAACTGCTTGAGTTCATGGAGCAAAATATCACTGTTTGGAATCCATAAGAAGTACATTCAGTTCATTTTCTTCTTTTTTTGCAGTTACTCCACATATGGGACTGAATACATCTATCCACAGGTTAAAGTGTGAACATGTAAACTTCAATATTCTTGTGGAACACAAGTCATACTAAGGATTAACATATTCTAGAAAAATGTCTCTTTGCAGGGTACATTAAACCCATATGTTGGTCAGCAATATGTTCCAGTTTATGGTGTCTCAGCTGCAGCAAATACTGCTAACCAACCATTTAGCCAATTGAGCCCATCCATTTCTGGTGGGGGCAACGGCTATCCGATGATGCATGGTTACAGTATGCCAGGAAATCAATTTGTGCATCTCACTGGGTCAAACTTAATTAATTCATCCCCAACAAATCGTCCCACCATTCAGGCTCCCTTTTTAGTAGGTAAGCTTTCTCCAGATCACATTTCCACTATTTGTTGGGCCTTCTTTTCCATCATAAAGAAAGGGCCTTCCAAATAAACTCAGACATGGTTTCAAGATCCAACTGCATTCACTAAGCAACATATGTTTCCACTCTGAATTATTATGCTAACATAAATACTCCCTCCGTCCCAAAATTCTTGTCTTATATTTGTCTAGATATGGATGTATCTAATACTAAAACGCGACTTGATACATCTGTATTTAGACAAATCTAAGACAAGAATTTTGGGACGGAGGGAGTACAATTTTCCATTTTTCTTCCTGAATCTTTTCTGGTATGCTATTTGCCTTATGAAAATGTATGTTTTATTTGGCTTTTGTAGCAGCACCAGTTCCCTCCCATCCACACTTGGTTGTACCAGCCCACTCACCTCAGTTTACACAAGCTAGTGGTTCAGACTAAAGAGCAAGCTGAACTATGCACCCAACCATTTATACCTTGAGGTTTGCTTTATCTGGATTGTTGTTATCTTGTTTGCGTGTTGACTGTCTGGCTGTAACTGACACTAGATTTTTTTGTTTGTGCCAGGTAACTTTAGTTTGCAGCAGGACTAAAAGAACAGTGCTGCTGTATTTGCAGCACTTGTTCTTACCTGGAAAAAATCATCCTTGTATTCATAAGGTATGTGTTGTATCAAGCAATCATCCTTGCATTCATCGATTAGTGCGTAAGTGCACTTGGATAATGGTCTCCTAACTGGACCCATTTGAGCATGCATGCGTGACTTTGGTCTGTTCATCAATACAACTGTTACACAGATTCTAGTTTTGTTGATGCTGGTTTAGCTCCTGCAACTTGATTCTTACTCATTGATAGTAACTTTTGGGATGTAACTCTACAGGTTGTCCTTATCATGGTCGACATATGTACCTGGAGATCATGAACTGTCCCGATGGATGGGGCGGTATCTCAAGAGCGACGGCTGCTCTTATCAGTCTGGCTTGGTTCAAATCCTGTCCTGGTGGGGGACTGTGATCGTCGATGTCTAGATACAGCATTATTGATTCTGTATCTGACAAGTCATGGATATATGGTGGATGCTGGAATGGAGTCCAGCACCCTGTAAGTTTGACTAAACCAAGGGGATTAGTCATGATGGCACTCTTAAGAATCAGGGATGAGTCATGATTTGATGACACTGAGATGAGTATCCATCTGAAGAGTCACCAAGTTAGTGTGCTTTAGTGTCGCAAAGTTTGAGTCTTGCACAAGCAAAAGTCAGTGTCATGATCTATCACTCTTGTTTCGCACTAGGCCTATTGATAGCCACATTATGGATTTATGATGCTCCGCTCGAGTGTAAGCAGGATGTTCAGTTTGCCCAAAGGGTGGCCGGAGATGGTCCTGCGTCTGTACCAACTTCCCATTAGAGCTTCTCTGCGTTATTACACAACTGGTGATCAGATCAAGGTGCATTTTTATCCGTGTTCCAGAACAAATTGTTGTTTTATAATATGTCCCAGAAGTTCTAATTTACATTCATGATGCTCTGATCTTGGTAGTTCCAAGATCGGAGTCTTGATGTACTTGAATAATAATAAATCATTCTGCTGCGAGTCCAGTGATGCGGTGCCCCTCATCATGGATTTTCATGAACTCGGTGGCATGAAAAGATGTACTGTTGGTCCAATTGAGATGTGCTGTTAATTCAAGAAAAATAGTTCGTGAACAATGTCCATGTGGTATGTGTACCCTCTTGCTGGGGTTAATGGCCCTGCCGACATGTATACATGTTGTCAAGTTTGATCCTTTCTGCTCCGCCTGAATGGAACCAACACATCTTACATGAATGTGAAGAAACTCCTCGGTGCTTTATGAGCAAACAAATATACAATTGGTACATCCTATGTCTTATCTCTTGAGCGCTTTATGAGCACGCAAATGTATACAATTTTTACATTTTTATGTGTTCTGCAAGGCCAGGTGAGCAAGTCATTCCAGCTGCTGGGATTTCCTACACATTCAGAGCTACTGAATCCTGGCGAAGGCTTGACATAAACACACCCCAGTTTGAATGCTACCGAACCCTGTAAACGCAACTTTGAAAGATCCTATGTCTGGATGTTGGAACGGCCATCATAGAACCCTCAATTCGAGTTTGTCATATCCAGCTTTTGTCTTGTACTTCTCAAATAGTTCTTGCATCGCAACCACAAATTGTTCATGTACCTCGTTTATCTGTCAACACCAAGGCATGTTAGGATCTTAAACAAGAACATGGTTTCAAAACTTGTTTCCAGAGTTGCAAAGAAACCAACATGATAAAATCACACATTCATCATATTTTAAACAGATCTAGAAAATGATGCCCCTAACGAGCAACTGAGGCTTTGGTCCAGAATGACAAAAATGCATACCAGATTTTGGCCTTGGGCGCTTAACTATCTGTTTTCCAGTTCTGTTTAATAGCAAAATCACATCTAACATTTGCTCAATCTTTTTTGGTCGGATGCTAAAACGCCCAGAATGATTCTCACCTCATCATATGTAGGCTGAGGATTTTTCTGAACCTCGATTGGTCTTCCAACAACCAGATGAAGTGGTGTCGCGAAAGGGATGGGAGTCCTGTATTACAAATTTACACATGTAAACTCATGAATGCCAATACGAATACTGAAACAAAATTATTTGGCATTTACGCAAATCAGATCAGTGGAAATATACCAAAAGAAGAAGATATATGCATTCAAGAGCATTACCCGTATTTCCCGAAGAAAATAATTGGAGTAAATTTAATTGCTCTAGCAATCTTCACAATCAACTTGCCACCTGGCCTCCACCACTTGTACACAAGGCTCTAATAGACAATAGCACAAATATATTCATTTCAAAGTTAGGTGGCCTGTTCAAGTCAGCAACCCATCCACTTCCATCAACATAACATTTATTATGCACCCATGCATGAAATCAAGGATAATGCAATATTGCATATCATGTGGCATAAAGAGGTGGCGTTACCTGTCCGAAGCAGAAAACTGGGACTAAAGGAGAACCTGTCTCCATAGCGATTTTAACAAAACCTTTTCTTGATTTCAGAAAGGCAACCTGAAAATTGCAAGAATTGTTGGTCATTACCACATAAATTGACTGATAACAACATGTCATCAATGACTATGCAAGAAGAACAACGCCGCAGACCTCTGAATCATGATCCATGTGAAGCATCTCCTGCACACCTCCAGGCACTACGATGCAGGTATAACCAGCTCGAAGGTAGGAGTTGAAATTCTTTCTAGAAGCTGGAACCAACCCCAGCCACGTCCATATCTGCCTCAAGAACGGAGTGTAGAACACCTAACGCCAACCAGAAATTCACCAATTAAGAGCGCACCTACTAACCACTTACCGAAAGACTGAATTCAATCAGACATCGACAGTGCACATTTAGGAAGGTAATGAGAGGGTTCCTCACCGCGGTGCTTGCAAGGACCTTGGTCTTTGGCAATGGCATGAATCCAACAAGGTCCAGGAGGGCCCCAAGGCCGATGGGCAGAACAGAATGCGGTTCATAACCGAACACTGCAAACACACAACAGTAAAATTACAAATCGAGCGGCTCTGCACAAAAAAGGCAGGCTCCAATCTTTCCTGCTCAACTTTTACTTCCCCCTTTTATTTTAGTAGACCCAAAAAAGGGTAGAGGAAGCTCACCGTAAGCTCTTTTGGGGTCAAAGGCCTTGTAGTCCTCCACATGTAGAGTGACGGGGAAGTACCCAACGACGTACTTGCTTATGAATCTGCGGAGTCGTCCACCGAATGTGAGATCCAGGCAGCATGGCAATGCACGGGACGACGAATCGAAAGGGGGAGGAGGAGGAGGGGGGAGGGGGAAGGAGGCGAACCTGGCGATCTTGCGCCCCAGCCTGCTCTTGTCATTGAGGGGCAGGAGCATGAAGAAGAGCTGCGTGCCGAGCACCCTGCACCATCGAAACGAGCACGAGCGTGAGCGAAGAGGGATTAACCGGCAAGAACAGCAGCAGATAGTGAAAGGAGAAGGGAGACGGGGGGAGTGGATCGGTGGACGGACATGGCGGCGACGCGGCGGGGGAGGAGGAAGAGGGAGGCGATGACGAGGAGGACGTTGAAGTGGATGGCCCCCAGCCAGAGCGCCAGCGCCAGCGTGGTGCGCAGCGGCGAGTAGGCCGTGGCCCTGAACACCGTGGTCCCGTCGGGCGCCGCCTCGGCCCCGGCCGCGGCGCCGTTGCTCAGGCCATTCCCCGCGCCCATCCCGCCGGGAGCCTCGGTGCGGTGGGGAGGAGGAGGACTGGGGGCTTCTCCCGCGTGCGTCGCGCGCGCGCGCTTGCCCCCTTCTCCGGTGGTAGTGGTTTTGTCCGTGGCGCGGGGGCGTGCGGGCGGAGTCGTCCACGGCCGTGTGTCGATCCTTTTTCCTGCCAGCCTGATTACTTTGCTTTGCGTTCGCCGGTGCCGTGCCAATCCTCGGCGCGAGGCGTCGGACCGTGCCGGGGCGGATCCGCGCGGACTCTTCTTCTTTCTTCCAGCCGGGTGCCGTGCGGGCGGTGTGTCCCTGCCTCGTCCCGCGCGTCCCCTTCGGGGTGGTTGACTCTTTTGCCTCGTCGGGATGGTTCGCGCATTCATTTCAGAAGTATCAAGAGCGTATACAAGGCATCCAGACGTGTCATCAGTACTTCATTTGGTCGTGCCTGCAGTCGTGCCCCGTGTATCCGAACTCCAAACTCATGTACACACAACAAGATCAAAGTATAACATAGATAAATTAAATATAGCATAGATCATAGATCAGACATAGCAGGTTTAACTTACAACATGACATAACCAGTTTAATTTACAACTGAACATAGCATACGTTATTCACAAAAAAAGATCAAACATAGCAAGTTTAACCGAACATAGGATCACAAATTCACAAAAGTTCATCCTATGATAGATAAGATAGAGTGAGAGAGCGTCCCCTTCCCCTGCGGTATCCAGAGCAGCGGTAGTACCTCGCAGTGTAGGCGTCTGTCGTGGTCCTAAGACTGACAGTAGAATAGGGGGTAAGTATGAGGAGGCAAGATCCTAGCTATGGAGTAGTTGTACACGCGAGTTTTACGAGTTCAGGCCCTTCTCGGATGAAGTAACAACCCTACGTCTTGGTGCCCTGAGGCGGTCGACTGGATTATATGTATGTGTGTGAGTTTACAAAAGTGCGAACCCCTGTCCCAAAGGAGGGGGTGTGGCTTATATAGAGTGCGCCAGGACCCCAGCCCCCCTCCGTTACACAGGGTTCAATGTTCATAAAAGAGGGGCGTTACTGGTAACGTCTGTAGTAAAGTGTTATAAATGCCCATAAAGCTATGGCTTAAGTCTTGACCGTTGCAGAGTGGAGAGTTTCTCATCTTCTGGTGGTCGAGTGTCTTCAAGGTGGTCGAGTGAGCACATCT